GCTGCTGCTGCTGCTGCTGCTACTGTCGCTGCTCCCGTCGTCGCGGAAGCTGCGCCAGCGTCCTCCGAAACAAAGACTCACCAACGATTGGATGTATGTTTTTGATGTTGTTGCAGACTGAAAGTGAAATGAAATGCTAACCCCTTTACCCATTTCTTTTCTCTAGCGCAAGGAGTCTGACCTGAGCACCAGCGGCGCCTGCGAGTCGCCGAAGCCAAAGAAGGGCAAGGCGAAGGCGAAGGAGATTGTGACGGCCATCGCCGCCTACACCGCCAGCGGTCCCGAGCAGCTGACACTGGAGGTGGGCCAGCTGATTGTGGTGCGCAAGAAGATGGCCAGCGGCTGGTGGGAGGGAGAGCTGACGGCCAAGGGCAAGAAGAAACAGGTCGGCTGGTTTCCCGCCAGCTACGTCAAGGCGCTTGGCGGGGTGGCGGCCACGGCTGCTGCCGCTGCTACGGGTGGCTCAGCTGGCTCCAGTGCTCGCTCTACGCCTGATCCAGCGGTGGCAGCTGCATCGAAACCAGCAGCCCCTGAGGAGCCTGAGATTGGTGAGTGAGATTTGGGGATTTGTGGTTGAAAATATCTTATGGAATTCCCTTTTCTCCAGAGCGCGTCACCGGCCTGTACTCCTTCAAGGCGGAACGCGAGGACGAGATTAGCGTCGAGCCGGGTGACACGGTGCGCGTCCTCTCCAAGCCCGATCCGACCTGGTGGCGCGGCCACAACACCCGCACCGGCGCCATTGGCCTCTTTCCCTCGAACCACGTCCAGAAGCAGGGGGCGGATGGAGGCGGTGCTGCTGCTGCAGCTGCAGGTGGCGCCGATCAGACCAGCTGTAAGTAGAACCCTTTTGGATTGAAGCAGAGCACACTACTACCTCTTCTAGAGTCCTTCTTTCTTTTATTTTCTTTTTTCTTTTTTCTTTCCTTTTGTGAAACTTGGTGTTAGAAATCTGTTTGGTATCTATTTAATTCTGCATGTGCTGNGCTGTAAGTAGAACCCTTTTGGATTGAAGCAGAGCACACTACTACCTCTTCTAGAGTCCTTCTTTCTTTTATTTTCTTTTTTCTTTTTTCTTTCCTTTTGTGAAACTTGGTGTTAGAAATCTGTTTGGTATCTATTTAATTCTGCATGTGCTGCACTATTCTAGTGGCTTTTAACATTCATTTTTCCTAGATCTTTTGGCTTTTTAATTGCATGCCCCAGCACTTTCTCTTTTTCGGTTACTTTGACTAACACATTGCCTAACCTCTGTTTCCACCCCTTTTTGCAGAGACGTTTCACTAACTTAACTCTCAGTATAATAATTGCCTCGCTACCACACTATTCTTCCACTTTATCTTCTGCTTCTGCTTTCTCCCTCTGCTTCCTCAACGACCAACTGCTAACCAGCTGAACACTTGCCTCACCTAGCTCACACTAACTAATTATAATTATCACCAACTAACCAATTAATTTAGGTTGCTAATCAAACTTACTAACACCAACTAAGTTGCTACTACCTTACTAACTCGTTTCACTTTTGACAACCTAAAACAAACAAATCAAACTTGTGTCCTTGACGTCTTTGTCAGTGTTATGTTTCACCATACCTTCGTACTGATGTGAGTGCGTTTGTTATCTTAACTTTAACTCCAGGCACCACACAGAGTTTGCTAGGCCCCTTGACACGATCCATAATAACATCCTAGACAGCATAATCTCCTCCTCTCACGGCTAACCCCAACTTGTCTTGTCTTGGTTTTACATTTG